CTCTCTCTCTCTCTCTCTCTCTCTCTCTCTCTCTCTCTCTCTCTCTCTCTCTCTCTCTCTCTCTCTCTCTCTCTCTCTCTATCTATCTCTCTTTTTTCTTACCCCCTACTTGACCGAAGCTCCACAAGCTATGTCACTTTTCCTGGTGGGCGTTACCCCTCCCTCGCACGTTACCCAGTCGTCTTTTATAAGCTGTCATTTATTGAGTCGCTGTTATTCATTCTTTATACTGTGCTTTTTGTTCGATACGTTTGTGAAGAAAGTAGTATCTGAGAGAGAAATGATGTATGGCCAGTGTGAGGCTTGGTATGTTTGCTGCCCCATGCAGGGGTTGCTATATAAAATTCCAACCTGACGGATGCCTGGGACCGCATTTTTGGCATATCGTGTTTGAGATCGTGGGAACTGGGGATTGGTCTGCGCACAATGTGAAACTGGTTCATGCAAACGGGTAACGGGAGAACATTGCTCATGAGATTCATCTTTCACAACTTCTTGCATGCCTCGGTAGTTGCCTCAGCTTGCCAGGCTACTCTTGCTAAATGTAAGTGTTATGTGACATTATGTTACACATTGAGATGGATACGATGACCTTAGGGACTAGGACCCTTTAAAAGAGGAGGGGGTAGAAAAGAAGACTGTGTGCATCGTACTCACACTATGGTAGGGTTTGTTCGAACGAAGCCAAAATGGTAATGATCCTTTCACAATTTGTTTAGTCTTTATATTGTCTCTGGCATGGCATTTACAACCATGACTTTCTGGTAATGTTAAAGGTATGTTTCTGACCATGCGCCATGGAAAATAATTGCAGGTTCCTGGTCCAGAGCACCATAGTCTGGTATTCTACTTTGCATCAGAGAAACCCGTACGGCCGGCCTCTCTTCTGGATCGGTTTATAAGCGGTGATGATACTTTCCGGAACGAGCGATTCAAACTCATTCCACGGATAGTGGAGGTATGTCAGCTTCTGCTGCTTGTAGATGACCAGAGTCTTAATTGTGTCTAATGACTCTAATCCACAGTCCTGATTGTTCGATGGAAACAAACTTATCCTTTTGAAGGAAGGGTGGTGGTTGGTCGGCTGGTTGGCTGGCCGGTTGGTTGGCCGGTTGGTCGGCTGGTTGGCGGGTTGGTCGGTTGGCCGGTTGGTCGTTTTGTCAGTTGGCTGGTTGACTTTTTTGAAGGTTCTTTTTCAAGCGGATGTGGGGGATGGGGAATGCAGTAATTGATTCACTTGAATCATTGTCACTGCATGGAAACTATGGAGAAGAATCACCATATTGGGCCTCGCTCCACTGCACAACACGCTATGTGCATTTGGATGGCTTCTGGACCAGGTGCGTTCAGCCGAGCTCAACATTTTGAGTGCACCGGGTCGGGAAAGCATCCAAATGCATTTAAAGTGTTGTTGATTGGAGCGAGGCCCATTATATGCGTCTTGTGTTCTAATTGGCAAGCATTGACACAATGATTTGGCAATAATAAGAAATGACAAAGATTATGAAAGGTACAATAACACATGGAATGAGAGATTAACCATGTCTTTAAACCACCACTACCTCCGGTCCTGTTTTTGCCGAACCTGAATTTCACTGCGCACCGAGTTTTGCCGAGCCAGGGTCCAGTTGTATTTGATTTTCTGGTACTCACGGCCGTTACATTAAAAAAATAACAAGAAGAAAAAAAAGAAAAAAGAAAAGAAAAGAAACTTCCCTAATGCCGTGATAGCATACTTGTGGCGCATAGATAAAATGTGGTGCGCTGATCGCAGATGCGTGAAATTAAACAAAAAATAGAAAAGAAGAAGAAGAAGAAGAAAAAGAGGAAGCAACCGTGACGTGTGTCTACATGCTGGGGAGAGAGAGAGAGAGAGAGCAAAGAGCCCTTTCAAATTATTCAGACAACCCCTGCCGGTATTTCAAAAGGTCCCTGTCAAAAATTGACAAGGGTCCCGCCGGCAGGAGAAGGGTAGTCACTGGAAGTGTAGTAAGGAGGGAGCAGGCGAGCTATATATGGTGTAGCTTCGAATTCAGGTCCGTGTTTCTGCAGTTATGGGTTACTGACTTACTAACTCGGCATGTGATTTTCAGGCCTTCACTGCACTACTCACCAAATCTGCAAAACTAGAATGAATCTTCTCCTACAAACTGGAACCATACAAACCACATGTTTGTCTTTTGTGATGAGTGGAGTGAGGCCCTTAGGGCCACTGCACGTAAAAAAGGAAAAACAAAAAACGAGACAGTTACTGTACTGTTTGTAGAACTTTTAATTTTATGATTGTTTTCCGAGTACTTTTGCAACCCATAACTCTTGGAACACAGACCTGAATCCACATGCAGGATATATTGCTGGCCTGCTCGTGGTCTGCCAGCGGTTCAATGAACATCCTTCCTAAACTTTGGGAACCCTGCTGATTCTTCGCAGGGGACCTTCTGGAAAAGAGGATCAAACGAGTAGTACGAAGTGGTCCCGAAATATTATTTTTCTGTGGACTTACAATTTTCAAAGTGAGGGGCGCTATTGGTTACCACGGCCTACCTTTTGCTTTTTTTTTTTTTTTTTTTTTTTAATGTGCCGCATCACGTGCACGCGCACGTGTCGGCATGCGCTATGTGGCGCATGTGATGCACCGCAGGTATGATGTTGACTCTTATAGAGTCTCTTGATGAATGAATTATTCACCCACCATTAGCCTTCGGCTAACACAAGCTCGATTGATGACCGAGCAGCAGAATGCATCCCGCGGAAGCGCCAATGATCAAGAAACACCGAGTGAGTCTCCTTCTTCCTTACTCATGGCTCCATTTCACTTCTTGTACCATTTGGGATGAGTGCCACTTGGTGCTCACCGATCTCCCACAGCGGATCACATCTCCCGTAACAGCTTTGGCCTTCTCTCTACTCCGACCTCGGGCTCCTGACAGCGGATCGCATCTCCCATGACAGCTTTTGACCTTCTCTCTACTCCAACCTCGAGCTCCTGACCACTGAACCTAGGACCGCTCCGCTCTTCCTTCCCCAGTTGCTGTTGTGGCAGTGTGCTGGTCTGCCTGATGTAGCTCTTCCAGCAGCATGGCACACAGCAGCCTCCAGGCCTACTTCTTGTGAGTGAGACAGCTCGTGCTTTTCTACAGCTGGCCAGGCTGCTGATGGGCTGGGCGTTGGCGATGGGCTGGGCGTTGGCCTGAGGAAATGGAGACCTTTGGACTAAGGCCTGGTAGTCCGCTGGGGAGGGCCTACCAGTCTGGAGCCCCGAATTTTGGACAGGGCCTGGGATTCTGGCCCCTGCTGGGCAGGGATCCCCAGCCTCTTTACTGGCTGTGACTGCAGGCCTGTTCTAGGGCCTCCAAACCCCCAGGTATCCATCTGTGCTGTCTGCTGAACCCCATTTGCATTCATCACTCTGGTTCAATACTTCTGCATTCTGGTATTGGTGTTGCATCTTAGGTCATACCTACAACGGTAAGGTTATGACGATATTGAAGTTACATGCACTCCCAATAGTCTTGTTGTAAATATGCCTCAATATTGAAGTTACATGTACTCCCAATAGTGTCGTTGTAAATATGCCTCGAATTGTGTCTCCGACTCTCTGTGGGACATTTGTGCCTCATCTCTTACTTGCCGGACCTAACTTTGTGCTTGAGATGGCAGTCTGCAGCAAGGATGATAGGAGACGACATGATGATCCTCCTTTTGCGGATAATTGAAGTGTTCACTGAGGGAGACTACAGATATCCATCCAGATTGCATGTACTTGAACGAGTATCTGAGCATGCATCCAAGGCACTCATGCTTCGCCCTGTAATGGTGTTCTTTGTGCTTTGTCATGATTGGCAGGGTTATTGGGTTGTAAAACGAGCAGTCGGCACCAAGGCAGTTCTTTTGGGCAAAGCTGTTACTTGTTCATATTACTGCCAGGATAACTATCTGGAGGTAGTCCTTGCATCTCTTCATCCTGCTGTTGCATGGCCCATGCCTTTTATGGTTGACGAACAGTGTTGGATACCCCGACAGTCGGCGCCCCTTGACTGGTCGGATGTCGACCAGCCGACCGGTCGGCTGGCCGGCACCTACCGGTCAGGGGTCTTTCTTTTATTTTTTCTGGGTCCAGAACCCCCAAGAACCCCACCAACACCCCCATACCTGCCCCCTATACCCTCTACATCCCTCAAACCCCCCAAACCGCCCCCCAACACCC